GAACGCCCGGAACCTACTGCTCCACCAAAAACTCAACAGGAAAGCCGGCAAGCATCCAGGTCAGTCAATTATTCAATCAATTCAGCAAAACTTGATGAGTGCTCTTGCACACCACAGAAGTACGACCGAATGTGATCAGCGTTCAGGCTTTTCATAGAGGCACGATCGATGTTGATGGGTGTTCACTATACGCCAATCAGACAGTCTAGATCAATGTCGAAAAGCGCCCTTTAAATAGCGTGGGGCCGTTGTAACTTTTGCGGTCGCAGTCGCACGCACTCACGCTCGCGCACTCGTTTGTTCGGAATATAGCGGTTGTGTTCCATTCTGTGAGTCTTTTTTTCTCCGGCACTAGGCACTGGAGCGGGTCAGCAGCAGATACCACAGATTGACCAATCAGCAGATATAACTAGAGCCTTCAGTGCATCGCCTTCAATGCGTAGCTACCCGATTTCCGAACAAACTGAACGTGCCATCTCCTACAAGGTTTGGTTGTATACTCCACTTTCCCGTTTTCCGGTGATCGAAACTGTAGCAGCTGGAACCAGTGTGCCTATGGCACATGGTTTATAGCTGATAAGTTGAATTTGTCCAATTGAATTGTGAATCATTTCAGTTTATGATCTATCAACGACCACCGAGACACATCACATTACTTGTTTGAACGGATCCCAAATGAACAATGACAGAGGCAGACTACAGGGACAGATCATCAGGGCGTTCACCTTGCACTTATGTCATACATTACGTCCTCGGCGGCACATATGCTTTATATGAATAGGATTGAACTGACTAGTTCCCTGGGATCAAGCATTCAGAATTTGGTAGCGCAATGCTCTGGAATTTTGTACGTAAAATATTCAGGAAAACCACGCTTTTGGCCAGATTAAACCGATGAGCAAATGCAGTTTACGTTTTCAATCTGTCAAAAGTGCGAAAAAAGCTAACTAACTGGTTTCAGTATGCTCTGCTGATGAGCACTCACAAGGTCGGAAGGCCTCGTGAGGGGCCAAGATCCGGGATGTCCTTGACCCGGGGAACGATGCTTTAAGGCATTCTCACCAATGACGAGCATTTCATATTCTTAAGGATCCCCGGGCATCACTAATCTAAGCACTCTTCACCTGAAAAGGCCAGACCACTCTTCTCTTGTACTCTGTGATCCATTTTAGTTGAGACTGTCTCCTAATATCTACCATCATACAACAGGGTGTCATACAGAGTGTCTCATAACAGACGCAAAATTTGATTGGATAACTAAATGTAGCCAATCAGAGAAAGGATAATAAAATTTTTCAGCAACCTTATGAGCAATACATTACAAATACATAAATGTATCGCGATAGCTCGAATATCGTAGCGACTGAAACATGAGGCGGCCTGGTACAGCACATTCACTTGCCTGAGAACATCACAAACGAGAGATTCAGCTGGGTTACAGGTGAGCCTCTCGAAAAATCAAATTAGTTTGCAAATGAGTGTATATTCACTAATTTTGTGCAATTTGGTTTCAAGTAGAACATTGAAGCTGCATTATTTTATTCGCCTGTTGTATCCTGTATCACACGGATTTCAATTGTATCCCCTTTTCAGAGTTGCACTGTTCTCTAGTCTCCGCTCTTGGCCAAACAGAGATTCATCAGTTACTTGCAGAGATGTGCTGATCACTTTGACACAGGTGTAGTAAATTTGGTTTTGCACAGTAAGCGATGGTGCTTTATTCCGTTTGCCCGTCAGGTTCGCACCACTGGGAGTGCCCTCCGCCTCGATAATCACTATCTTTAATGTATGACCTTTACCTGTTATAAGTTGGAAAACCATTTCCCCATGAAAGTGAACCTTTTTCTAAGCTACCTATCTTGAATCAGGCAGCAAACAGCTTTACCTAGATGCAACACACTACTCATAAGGTTGCTGAACATAACTCGACAACTCGTGACCGCTTTTGCTCTTGTTTGAGTTCATCGGATAGACGCGGTTCCATCAGTCCCATGTCAAGCTTTAACCCGTGAACAGACTTCGAAAATCATAAATGAGACACTCAGCTAGATGCACTTTGTGGAAACCAAAGTCATGTGCAAATGAGAGTAGAGATCAAAGCACTTACCATGCTCAACAGAATCGTAAAAGTAGCCGCGTTCCAACAGCTGTTCAAATGTGCTCTTCATTAGCGGTGAAAGATAGGCCTTTGTGAACGCTTTGGCCGCAATCTTCTCCGCGGTTTCCCTGGCCAGTTTCATTGCTTTTTCATACTGAACTTTGCGTCTCTGTTTCTCTTCCCTGTTTAGTACAGGATATTCAAATGTAGGTAAACGCTGAGTTTGCATGGCAAAAACATTTGTATCTTGTGTCATTACATCTAACGCCACAGTCAATCAATTTTTCAGCCACTAGCCGATTAGCGAAAGACGTCGCTTTAACTCGCTACATCGTCGTCTATCCAACTCCTAGCAGAATGTGTGTTTGACTCAAGCACTTTCGATCTGCATGCTCTGGAATTCGCTGTAACGCTTAAAAGGCGGCGTCGCTTTCATAAGCTCCGTGAATGTAAACGTTCTGCAAGGGCTACAGAGTGTTCCAATACTGAGGATACGATGCACAGTTTGGAAATTTATTGAGGTCCGACTACTAGTGAATAGTCAGTAATGTGAAATTAGAGACATGTTCAACGGCGGTGAAAGCATGTGCTCTAACATGAGGCACTCATCTACGGAGTGACTCCAGAACTTTCCACAAGATCCTGTTAGCTTGCAAACCGCAGGAAGTATTGTTTTTCGCCTCTTTTTTGCAGGTTTGTTGATTTTACCGTTGTATCTTCTGCAAACTGGCCAAGACCTTTGTAACCCTCTTTGGGTCTCAGAGTTGGACACAATTCCAAAAATACCATGCAGTCAATCTTCCTGAATGAAGCAGCATTTCTGAGGTCGTTGAAGACAAATCTCATTTTCTGTTATATCTGCTGATTTGCCAGTCCGTAGTGTCTGCTGCTGACCCGCTCCAGTGCCTAGTGCCGGAGAAAAAGACTGACAGAAAGGGAAAACACCGCTGTATTCCGAACAAGCGAGTGCGAAAAAAACAACGGTCTCAGGCTATTTATTGTCTGAACTTAACGTCTGGCTTTGGTACAAGGCTGTGACGCGCTGCATGTTTAGGGTGCGTTTTCTGTCTGGTCAACATCTAGCGGAGCTGAGAGTCTCGGTAGATTTCGGGCATTTAGTGGTTGCTTTCAGGAATGTGATCTTTCTGATATTTTCCAATTCAGCAAAGGACGGACTCACAGAAGGACTGCGAAGTAAGGTCTCCTACTAGCTAATACACAATAATTTGAAGAGATCTAGTAGGGCCCAGTCGTCTTTTGAATTTTTCTGCTAAGGAGCATTGCTCATTAGCTCACCGCCTATTGTCCGCAATCTGCCAAGGTATCAAATTGTTAGGAAGACCAGATTCGTAGAAATGACCACCAAAAGCCCACCAGATGCTTGCCAGACAGACAACGCCCCCGCAATATGCAGCGTGTGACAGACAGCCTTGCATCGGAGCCAGATAGCGCGAGACATCGTTGGATCAGGTTCAGACAGTGTCCCTCCAATAAAATATGAGGCCTCTGTATTTTCGCACTCCCACGGACTCACCATCTCGCACCCGCTTGTCCGGAGTAAACTTGTTGTGTTCCCTTCGGTGAGTGCTTTTTCCGGCACCAGCGGGATCAGTAGTCAGAAACAACAGATTGGCGGATCAGCAGATACAACACAACTGCTTGTGGAAGTCCCGATCTCCATTCTGTCACCATTCTACAGCTGTAATTTCTCAGATCTACAGGATTTCCCATGTTTTGCGTACAACAGGTATCAGTTCAAATCGTTCAGTAGGCGACAGACTCACTCGTATCGACGGTTCCGATCCTCCAATCTGGCAACTTCGGCCAGATCAGCATTGTGAATTTCTTGGAGTACCTGCTGTTGGCATCGTAAGTCCGCCAGCTCCTCCTCTTCCGCAACCTCGAGTAGCGCTTGCTCTATGGTTTTTCCGCACAGAACTTCGAGGATCGGTTGTACTTCGAGTTCGAAGTCAAAGAGCTTCACAAAGAAAAGGAGATCAGATGTAATTGTTATATTTGGAAAAAGAGGGATCTCTTATTCCACAGTGTGGGACTCAAACGTGTACTGTCGAAAGTAGGTTCAGAACACGCTTGAACTTCAATTAGTACAAAGAATTTAATACAAGCAGACCTGGAAATAAATAGTTTAACGGTTCGTTGGGAAGCATTAATAGACTTGAAATCTGATGATTTGATTTCACCCTCAATGTAAACTACCTACCTAGTGTATGACCCATGTGGTCTGATCACGTAACCTGTGGACAATTGGATCCAAGACTTGGAGAAAGACTCGCTGGTCTCGATTATCCGAACAGGTGGAGTTCTTCAGACCTCGAGCTGCATACTAAGGCTCACGGGCAAAGTGATACCAAACAAGTTGCGGGTGATAGTTCCCCAATTCTGTCCATAATTTTCCAGTGCGTGGTTGATTTGACATGTTCGCTGATAAGGTTAAATTTAATAGAGGTTTGAGCGCAAGTTTCACCGACATCCTGGTTGGCCGGACTTATTAAGTGTGCGGATCAACTAGCGAGGTCTGATTGGGCCCAGTTCTGTTGCTGTTTTGCCAATTTGTATTCCCGGTTGTGGGAAAGATTACGGTCGAGGTGGTACAGTGATTAAAGCGCGACCTTACTGACCGAAAGGTTCTTGGTTCGAACCCAACTTTGCCAACTCCAGACCTGAGGATACGGCCGGCCTTTTATGCTGGCAATCAATATAAGTGGATAATACAGTGGAAATCAAGTCGTAAGCTTCGATGCGCTGTCCTCTAAAAGTACAGTGTTATCAGACCAGAGGAATTTTGGCCTGAGAAAGAACGACAGAAATTGAGACTATCATTCAGTAAAAGTTCCCATAAAACACCAATAATATAATGAAAAATACCTATTAAAAATAACTGATTTTGATGTAGTGGAAACATGATACACTAGCTGTTATAACTCGCAAACGTTGTGTTTTGATGCTTTAAGCAAACTAAAACCTCTTTTCATTTTTTCAAAAAAAAATTGTTCAGACACGAGTGATAATCAAATAAGGAAGTGAGACACAAAGCAGAATAAAGCAAGCTAACGTGGTCATTCACCACAAAAATCGTAACGTCAAAAGCCACCCTAGTTAACGGGAGCTCGATGGGCAGAGTTACTGCGGATATGCACTAACGATGAGCTGTAATAAGCGCGAAGCTGGTGTCCAGTGCTTTTTCCCTTTGGTGCCAATATAACTGCTCCAGAAAAGCAGGGCGACTGTTCAGGCGAAAATGGTGTGAATGAGGATTCTACAAATCCCTCAACCAACCAATCAGTATGCCGTTTGTGAGTCACTCAGATGAAGTGAGCATCGCTCAAACTCACGTCATTTTCGTATATTTGTGTGGCAACGTCGACTCCGGTTTTTGCAGGTACAAATAAGCAAGGTTACTTGAACCTTCAGCACATCCCCGCCTCCAACGCGCAGCTACCTACCCCACCTCCCCGAATCACCGGTGAACGAAACTGTGGTAGCTACAACAACTGTACGACAGGTACGTGGTTATTACAAGTGACAGTGATCATGGAGCTAGTTCATCCTAGTAATTTGGATGCATCATTTACAAACTGGGTGGAATATTTTCATGAAGGAAACTACTCACAAGGTTACTGAAAACTCATCGACAGCCCACGACCAGTTTCACCCTTCTTGGGGCTCATCAGATAGGCGCAGTCCCCGAGTTTCTGTCAACCATATGTTCTACTTGCGAATCTCAGGTAACCAGGTTACCTTTGGGGATGGCTGTCTGAGCTTGTGCCTTGGAAATCGGGAGTTC